AATAAATTCAAAAAATAATAATGGACGTCTTTATTTTGTCTAACACATTAAATAGGCCTGTTGCAAAAGCAGCTGTTTGCAACACCAGAAAAATAGACCTCCTCTAAAATATTTTTTACTTAAATTACAATACAAAAATACTGACTGAATCCTTTCATCCTTTTTAAAGACCAGCATGACTGTTAATTTCTAATCATATATTTGTTTGTTTTTTCAAATACAAAAGCAGGCTACCTTGTATCAATTGATCTGTAGAAAATAAGCATTTAAATAATGCTTTACTGTAATTCTTATATCACAACATCTATCAACATTTAAATAGAAGTCACTTTTTTAAAGATTATGTCTTGAGCATCAGGTTAAAGAGTGGTTTGTTGATCTGTCCCCAGAAGAACAGAAATATTAGTAGGCCTATATCAACAGATCCAAATCTTGTAAGGTATTGAATGCCCTTAATGTAGCTTGCCTAGTTTACGCCAAAGAATGAAGTTGTTTTTTATTGAGATTGTTTCCTCTGTCAAATGAAGGTCTGTTCCTTACAATAGCAAAACAGATGCACTGCGGACGTGGTGATGATAGACAACAAGGCGCATGATGACTTTTATTTAAAGTATAGACTACTAGCATATAATAATTTAGTTTACATACATGTATAGTCTATTGCATTACTTTGTATATATTTTTATAGTTTATAAAGCTATAAAATGAAACTCTTAGTTTGGTGTTGAGTTATTCGTAGATTAGGCTATGTAGGCTATTTTTAATATATCTTTTTATAAGGAGCTGTAATTTTTCAAATAAAAAAATTGGTTGGTTATTTAATTATTGTACTACATTATCAAAACTATATCAGTTGATTGCATTTATGATGGCTCAGAGCAAGAGGAAATTCCAACGCTCCGACTTGTTGCCATTTCCAAAGCAGAGCACATTTCAAAAAGTTTTGTTCTGTGTTTATGACACGGATCCAGGACAGAGGCATCACCATCAGTGCTGGTTACTTGAAACAAATATTTCAGGACCTAGTGAGTGATGAGTGCACCATTACTTCCAATCCAACCAATCAAACTGATAAGTGTTGCTCTATGATTGGTCGGGTTTTTCAATGCCCCATTTATGATTTTTCAACACATAGACCACCTTAAGGCTCCTACACACTGGGGCGCTTTTCATTTGCGTTTATCGTAAGTGTTTTACAAGACATTTTCTGCATTCAAACCCAAGCAATAATCACTGGCGTAAAGGAGACGAATATTGCAAAATCACTCCTTGACGTTAGATGGCGCTACACAACTTTAAGCAACTTTAAGACACCCGCTTGTGACACAGAAAAAGAGGAAGAGACACGCAGTGAGTCTCAAGTCGACTAAACAAAGTTTAAATAATTTTATGGTGATCTTATTTATACTGTATGGATCTTGATAGATTTTTATTTGGTATGAAGCAGAAAGGAGGGATGTCAGGGAGGTTGACTTAATCTAATTCTCGGCCACGAGTCGGGTCTAGGACAACACACAACAGATAATTCTATAAAACATTTTTTTTTGCACTTTATTATATTTATTGTCTATAAAATTTCATTCTAATAAAATGTAATATTCATGCAAAAGATTTCTTAAATTATCTTAGCATTACTCTAGTTGTGTCTTTAGATTGTTTTCCAGTTACATTTAGGATTAATTTTTGGTATTTATTTAGAATACTTATTGTTCAATAACAACTGTTATTTATTTAGTGGTGAACCTGGGTGTGAGGTCCCTTTCACCACTGTTTGCAGCTTTAATTATTATTATTAGGGTCAGAACATTAGTGGAGCGAGACCCATTGGATTTGCTTCATTTTATCTTATTCTTCTTCTCTAAAATGAATTGCATTTTTGAGGGTCTACACATGCTCAAAACCCCAAAACTTTATACACACACCAGAAGTGGCAAAAGTCTGTTTGAAATAGATTTTGTAAGTGGGTGTATTAAAACGGCTTAACGGCACCACCTATGCACTTTTGACGAAGTGGCCCCCAAGCTACGTTTCATGCACACAAACAAAATTGGCACATACTTTAAACAATGCTTACAAAACAAGTCTCTTGGACTAAAATATGAAAACCAACAAGAAGTCAGATTTTTAATTTCCTCTGCAAAAAAAAAATAAAAAAATAAAAAATAAAAAAATGATTTAGCCATTACCAGACGTTGTATTGTAACAAACTCCTCCTAGAAATTTCCTCAAATCAAAACCAAAATTAGTTATTTTATTTAAGTTACATTATGAAGATATACACTCACTGGTCACTTTATTAGGTACACCTTATTTGTACAAATGGGCTCAAAGTGTGCCAAGAAATACCCCCTTAGTTAGGGAAAACTTTTTGTTCATTATTTTCTGTTGGTCCTCTTGGAAGTATTGGCTTCATTTTATTTGACTACATACCTGGCTGTGTACTGAAAAATTGTGCTGCACTGCTGACAGATGATGTCTTTATCACAACCCAAGCTCATTCTGGAAACGTAGCCCTGCGACGTTTCTGGAGACAGCGATTTACGTGGCCGGAGGTACGTAAGGCCGCGTTTAGTTTTTTTCGAGCGAACGCTGCGGGGTGGCGCTGCTCCACCCCTCTTCGCGCTCGCCTGCCGACGGCTCGCCTCCGAGTGGAGGGCTTTCCCGATGCACCCAGTTTGTCCACTTAGCTCACAGCGTTGCGTCGGCGAAGCGGAGGCCCCGGAGGAGGAGGAGGAGGAGCGGAGTCGACCGATTCGGCGGCTTTTCGTGCGAACGGCACACGCTCCCCAGAGGCGCCCGAGACGCGAAAAAGCACGCACAGCGGCCTCTCGCAGATCCGCGAAAACAAAAAACGCTCGAATACGTACCTCCCGGAACGTAAATCGCGGTCCGCAGAAACGTCCGCGGGGCTACGTTTCCACAATGAGCCCGGGTTGCTTTATCACCTCACTGAGATAGGCAGTTGACTCCTATGTTCAACTATGTCTGAAGTTCACAACAATAATACTGGTTTCAAAACAAATCCTGTGCACTGACTTCATTCATAATGAAGTGCTTTGAGAGGTTAGCCATGATGATGAGGTCGGATTCCTGTCTTCAAATTCTTCCCAGCAAGGATCAAAGTTTATCCCTTTTCTCGTAATTCTTTTCTTTCTTTTTCTCATTACTTTATTCAAATGATCAGTATTCAGTATATGAATCAGTATTTAATTCGTAAAATGATATGGACTAATTAATAAAGTCAACACATTTGTCTGTCATAACTCATTTTTCAGGAGCCACCAAACCAGGTTATAGGTCAAGGAGACAACTTGAGTGGAACTGCATGAATAATTTTTTTTGTTTGTTTTTATTGTTATTGCTACGTGTTAATACTATTTAAAGTGATTTTGCTATTTTATTTTCATTAATTTTGTTTAAAGTGATTTCCTTTTGATGCTAAATAGACTTTGTGTAGTAAGATTATAACAGCCTGAATGCTGATTCTACCAGTTTTGAACCAGTTAGAAAGTAACAACCGTGAGTTTTTATAAGAGTTTGTTTTTTTGCTTGTGTATGTGTCTGCGGGGGTCAGCACTACAGGTCTGAGATCAGCTCTTAATAGCCTGCTGGCAATCTTCTGTCTCCATTCCTATCTGGACTCAGATCTGAACCCTCATTGACAGCTTTTTAGAATTGTCTATCTTTGCTTTAACCAATCAGAACTTTTACCTTAGGTGACACCATTTTTTGTTTTGTGTAAAGAGTATAATTGCCTTTAATAAAAGCCCTTCTGCCATAAAACTGCAAACTATCTTCAGTAAATTTTTCTTAATTTTTATCGAATCTCGGAATCTGAGCCTTCTATTCCAGTGGTTCTCAATGTGGGGGTCGGGACCCCCCGAGGGGCCGTGGGACAATGAAGGGGGGTCGCCTGGTGATTTCCAAAAATCTATTTATTTTTATTAAACCATAAGAATTACCATATTTTATCCATAACCTACTGAAAAGAAAAAAATAGTCATTTATAGTCACTATATACTACTGTATATAGTTACTATAGTAGCTTATAGTTACTAGTTCTATTGGATTGCGATCGCTGGGGTAATTACATTATATTAAATACACAGCAATAGCTTCAGATGCAACAGATTGATGACCAGGTTAAGTTTTCTGGCTCATTTACAGCCCTAACAAACATAAAAAAACATCTACGAAGAATAGTCTTTGGTCTATTGGTGTGTGTGCGCCATTGCATGCAAAGTTTCTGTACTTATAACCACCTTAGAGGATATTGGGGGTCGCGAGCCACTGGCATTGTTATTTTAGGGGTCGCGGGCTGAAAAGTTTGGGAACCCCTGTTCTATTCATCTGACACACCATACTTTCATTTTAACTGGTAATCTTCATTCCAAACAATATCCCTCTGCAATTGGAGTCTTTTTACTTCTAAATGGAAAACCTCAGTCAGTCTATGTCGGCCACGAGTGGAGAGAGTCAGTAGTAGGGCTGCACGATTAATCGAAAAAACATCACAATCTCGATTCGTCCCAACACACGATCCTAATTCAGCTTTTTCTACAATTCAGCCAATTATATTTTCAAAACCAGGAGAGAAGAAAAGGTGGCCCCACAGGTCTTCACAGCAACATTGACACCTTCAAATACTGTATTTCTGAGGTATAATTCACCCAAAATGTAATTTCTGTTTTCATGTAATGATGTATTTCACTCTTCATATAAATGCACCAACCTACTTTTTGTAGGCTTAATATAAAAGTAGTAGTAACTAAGTTTTACTCCTATTTTGAATATCACTTACTCTACTTGCCCTTCAATACCTTTTGACAAGTAATAGTAATTTTACTTAGTATGATTTTTCAGTAATCTTACGACCACTTTAAAGGATTCCAAACATTAATATCTAGAAATTTGGCTGAAATGGTGCTCTACAAAGTTGACTGAACACCTTCACACTAATTACTTAATATTATACAAATAATTAAAAGTCTATACTTTACCTTGACTAACACATAATCACCAGGTGTAATGCAGGCCATCTGAGTTTTCTCTGGTTGAACAGGCAAATTTGTTTTAGGAAAGATCACTTTCACATTTCCATCATTTCGTCCACAAAGCTCCTCAGATGATCTTTTGCTTTTCTGTAGATAATAAAGAAAAAATATCTGTTATTAAAATACGTCTTCTTAGACAAGCAAATATAGAATGGGTCAGTCTCAACAATTTCATTTTCTAAATAAAACAGATTAAACTGACTTAATAAAAAACTATGGTAGCGCTTTTGCGTTAAAGGTGCTGTGTGTAAGTTTTTGACTCTTCTAGAAGTATAATACCATAATGTGTTTGTAGATATTTAAGAAACATGCTAAGTGAACATTTGTTTATCTTATAAACAATGCTTAGATATTCTGGTTGGAAAATGTACATTCCGTACTGGAACGCCTGTCTTCATTTTGGCCCTTTTAACCCACCTTGCCTTGGTGGAAATAAGTATTCAACACATCCCCATTTTTCTCAAAAAAACATTTCCAAAGGTGCTGTTGACTTAAAATTTTTACCAGATGTTGGTAACAACCAAAAAAATCCATATTCAAAGAAAACAATAGTGATTTTTTTACAGTTTAAGTTGTGTAAAAAATGAAATGACATAGAAAAAAAAACAGTATTAAATACATGAAGAACAGAAACTGTAGAAACCAGTGAAAACCTACAGAACCCTCAAGATGTTTGCACTCTGTTGAAGTCTGTGAAAAACTCACATTTGAGCAGTTCATGTGACTTCATTCTCAATATGAGAGGCATCTTTAAGCTGCCATCACCAAAAAGTTTTATATAAAGTATTAAATACATTTCAGTAGTTCAGTACTTTCTCCTTGTGTCATTTTAATATTACACATACATTTTTTCCACATTTTTTGTTTTGTTATGTTTTTGTTTGTAGTTTTTTTTTTTTTTTACCAAAATCAAGTTAAATTCCATGTCTACAGGTCCTTCCCAGAAAAAAAAAAAAAAACAAACAAAAAAAACATTACGTTTGATACTTTTCCCTCCACTGTATTTGATTCATCTGGTGGACACCAGCAGACTCCGAAATGAGACACAGATTTAGAGTTCCACATGAGGTGGTTATTAATTAGCAAATAATATAAATATTACAAACGTAACATTAGTTGAGAAGGTTACATAGTAAATCTGTGTCCGAACAACATGCTATGTGACAAGATTTTCTAGTGATGAGCAATCTGGCTGTTTGCATCAGACGCAACTTAACAGAAATTTATATACAGCCATTCAGAAGCAGAGAATATATGTGCACTCACTGTATTCCAATGAAATGGTAAGGTTTCCAATTTAATTAACTGCAACGTACAGTCCGGAGATAAAATTACGTATTGTTTCCTACAAGGGGTCTGGGTTCCTCTCTGCGTGGGTTTATGACCCCTGGTGCTAGGAAGTCTGTTACTCTGTGACACCTTACTTATCCAGATGCATGCCAGAGACGACTGCTTTGAGCTTCTAAGGAATTCCTTTACTTCTTTCTCCCCACACACACACACACACATGCACGCACGCACGCACGAACGCATGCACGCACACACACACACGTTTGTTTTTGTGAAAAGTGGTGACATTACATAGGTTTCCATTCATTTTATACTGTCCAAACCGTATATTGTATTGCCCTCACCCCACCCCACCCCTAAACCCAACCATCACAGGAGACTGTGTGCAGCTTTACTCTCTGATTAAACTCATTCTGTAGGATTTAGAAGCTTTTTGAGAAATGAGGACGTCACCAGTGTCCTCACATTTCACCTCCTTTTTGTAATACCTGTGTCATACCCATGTCATTATACAGATTTGTGTCCTGATATGTCACAAAAACACGTACACACACACACACGGCTTTAGACACTGAAGTGGACTCAGAAATCCTGAATCAGCCCAAAAGTAAATGTTATGTGTTTGTAAACTTTGTATTTCCTTTCTGACTTTTCTTTCATATGTATCTCTCCCTAAATGCCCTTTTCAAGACACTAGACAAGCTAAGAATGTTTGAATCATGTTTATGTACTTCTAAAAGTGTGTCTGGTATCATTCTGTTGCTTACACAATCCTACAGCTCATGATATAGGAGGCATGATCATAATTTATATTGCCTACATTCTTTAATTCTCTGAGCTAATGTCTCTTTGTATGCTTTCGGACGGACCCTTATTTTGCATAATAGCGGTCCACAGACAAAGAAAATCTCCCGCTCAAACTGCCAGGAAACCATTGGTCAGTCTGTGGAAAATAGGTGTGACTTGATCAACAGTTAAAATCTACGCCCAAAGATCAGGGCTGAAAAGGTCCGAAAGATGCTCTCCTAGAGGTGCCCCCCTTTGAGGGGGCAGACTGCATTTCTGTACCCCCGTCACTCGTCTGAGTCCACGTTTTTCTTATTTTTCCGGCAAAGTAAACCCAGTTTAAAGTTTGTATCCGCATTGCAAGCTCCACGCATCGAGGAAGGACATCAAAGGACTCTATCCTCCAGCGCATCAGAGAAACTCGCACAAAGAGAGACAGAAATACCCACTAAATCCAGGTATTTAGTTATGCGTTAAGCTGTGCCCCTTATCAAAAAGGTGTTTTTGTAATCTTGGTGGTCCTGAATAGTTGTGTGGAACTGAGGTAGATTTGTCATTCTTTTATCTTTTAATATACTCTTTATTTCCTCGCTCGCCTTCTCTGTTTTTGTTATGTTTGTGCGTTGTTATATCTCAGATAAGTCAATAAATCCCATTATAATCAAATGGATTGTATTGTTTGTCTTACGGAAAAAGTCACTTAAATGATCGAAATGATATCAAAACTTGTAAATGATTAATCTACTTCATAATTAATCTACATCATTCAAACTCAAATTAGCATTCAAACTACTAATAGCATTTAACACTGAATAAAGAATATCAGGTGTACCTGAGGTGATCATTGTCATAATTTTCTGTTGTTCAGCTGCAAGAAATAGAATCTGTTTCTAAAATATAAATTTCAGGTGTTGGTAAAAACAAAAACGCCTCTTAATATGGATAATATTCAATTTATCCCATGCCATTGGTTTTAATTAGAACACAATTTAAATTAGCCTTTATGTTTGATAGTCAAGCACATTCCTGTTAATGATGTCAATCTGGCAACCTGTGCTTCCGTGGAGTTGTCAGAGGAGGGAACAAGTGAAAATGTTTTGCAATACCTAGTTTAACCACTGTGCCAAACTTACATACTGCACCTTTAAGAGCACACACATTATGAATTCATGTATTAACATATGCATTAAATTATGCATTAATATATATAAGTGTTTCGTTCATTATTTGATGGATGAACAGCACCTTAATTAAGGCATCAATTGAGATATCTACATCATCAGGATCTATGATTATTTAGACATGATCATGTTTGTTAACAGATAAAGGTCCTTACTTAATTTCAAATATATGATTATGGAATCATAAATTTATGGATGAGAGAAAGCATTTTTTTAAAAATATTTAAAAAATCATATGTAATTATTATTACAATTCTTTCATTTTCTTTTCGGCTTAGTCCCTTTATTAATCTGGGGTCGCCACAGCAGAATAAACCGCTAATTTATCCAGCATATGTTTTACGCAGCGGATGCCCTTCCAGCTGCAACCCATCACTGGGAAACAACCAAACACACTCATTCACACACATAAACAATGGACAATTTAGCCTACCCAATTCACCTGTACCACATTGGACTGTGGGGGATGCCGGAGCACCCTGAGGAAACCCACGCGAATGCAGAGAGAACATGCAAACTCCAAACAGAAATGCCAACTGAGCCAGCCGAGACTTGAACCAGTGACCTTCTTGCTGTAGGGAGACAGTACTACTTACTGCTCCACAGCGTCGCCCTATTACAATCATTCATTCATTCATTTTCTTGTCGGCTTAGTCCCTTTATTAATCCGGGTTTGCCACAGCAGAATGAACCGCCAACTTATCCAGCAAGTTATTACGCAGCAGATGCCCTTCCAGCCGCAACCCATCTCTGGGAAACCTAATACAATCAATTCAAATTATTATAGGAATATGCAAATTACAACATGCAAGCATACAGATATGTCATTATTGTGAAAATAATGTGTTTATTAATAAAGATCTGCTTAATCAAACAAGTTCATATCAGCTTCATAGTAGCCTGCAGGTAAATAAACATAGCCCAACAACACTGGCCAATCACAACACATACTGTAGCTTGTGGCTTCTGTTGTCATCTAAATACACAAGTATTCATAGTTAACTAAAAATTAGTTTTTAATGTTTGTGGCCCCTTAACTAAAGTGGTGACCAAATCGATATTGCACAAAAGCAAGACAAGGATTAAGCTGGGATTTTCAAACTAGCTTATCTGAATTAAGTTACTACACAGTTTTATTCTTTGCAGCAAGCCTGCTTCAGAGCAGATTAATAACCAGGCTAAGATTAATCCTAGTGATTTTTATGTTAGTTTTGTTGTCAATGCTAGAAATTAATGTGTTTTATAGTTACTCCATGATCTTGACCATTTACATTTATTTTAGTAATAATAACATATATTTTATTATTTTTTTCATGCAAAGCGGTATACAAATTACATTGAAACATGCAAATAGAGAAGAAAAAACAAAGAACAGATGAAAACAAAACAAACAAACAAACAAAAAACATAGTAGAAAAAGTAGAAAACATATAAAACATACTGTACACACACAGACACTGACACACACTGACTGACACACGCACGCACACACACACACACACACGCACACACACACATATACATATATATATACATGGATATATGTACACTGTTTAACTTTTTTGTATTTTTGCAGTAACTTACTATCACCACATTTTCAGCAAGTTTCCATAATTGCCTCTTTACAGTAGCTTGAGCATGAAAGTGCTTTATAGTGCAATTTTTTTAGGTAATCTGCCAGAATGCTAGCATTAGCATAATAGCTTAGAAATTTTACATCCCTCCCCTGCCGTTCAAAGCCACGCCGTCTTAATTCATGAACACGCATCGAATGGTTATAACACGTCATTCACCAGTTAGAAAACTTTGTCCAGCGTAGTTGTTGACAGTCCAGAGGGTGCAGGAATTATATTTCCCAAAAACTGACATTGGGGTAAAGTTGGTTTTATATTTGCACATTCAGACTTTCTTCTTAATAATTAATTTCAGAAAAGTACTGCTTGCAAATTATAAATAGTGTAATCATATAATCCACCACAGTCAATGAAACGGTGCTAATTTCGGACTGAATATTCAAAGTAACGTTAGAGTGGGAGCGCGTCACAGACTGTCACTGTTCAAAAATGAACAAATGTGCAAATATAAATCAAACTTCAACACAGTAAAACTGGTTAGGCTCAGCACTATTATGTTTTCATATTTCACTAAATAAAAATCAGAGCAGGAAAAAAATGAGTGCTAAAAACTCATCGAAATTAAATATCCTATCATCTTTTTACATTATTAAAGTTACATTACCAAGACAGCAAGTGGCTTTTCATTTTCTATTGGGCTCGCTAATCCTCAGACATCGCTTGTTTTCATCTCCTTTTACACTTGAACAACTAAACAAATGCTTAAGTGTATGTAAGTGACTATATTATTGATGCTGTAAAAGGTACCCCATGAACCTGAAAATAGCCAATCTTTTGCCGGACATTTTAAGTGGCTGAACAACACTTTTTTTGCATTTAAACTCATTCATAAACAAGAACACAATCTACATAAGCTAAGTGTGACTAAAACGATTTTAAAATTTACCTGTAATAAATGTAACACTTCAGCCATGGTGTCATCCTTCAGATCGTTGTTTTAAACTGTATAACGTCATTTCTCTTCAGCGTACTAAAGTAATTTCGTAATTTCAAAAAGTTTTGATTCTGCATTTTTGTCAGAAGCCTTTTCTAAAACAATCTTTCTTTTCATGGATACAAAGCCATGTTGGTAAGAAAATTGTTCATTACCAGACCCAGAGATCGGTTTATTATATTCAAAATGGTAAAACTCAACTGTTTAACTCTAAGGGAATTGTAAAATTAATCCACAAAAAGTGGAATGTTCCTTTAAGTAATCTACTTGCATGTGTACAAACTGATATGTGCTCAGTTTTATAAATAACTGGGATGGGGATCCAGCTTTTAATCGCCTCTTCATTATAAAATCCTCAGTCTCAGTTTTACAAGCTTTGCAAATTAATAAACTTCACAGTAACTGATTGAACAACTGATTGCTGACATTTGTAAATGGTATCCAGCATCTTTCGATAAACACACACCTTGTCTCTGTATTCTGTGCCGCAGCATGCTGTAGATTTAAATATGTGCTGAAACACAGGGAGGAGCAGAAAACTATATATTTGCTTTAAAGGCAACTGAGCAGATATTAGAAGGGCTGAGCAGAAATTTAGTGGGAGATAAAGCACTTCTAATAAATGAATGAATGAATGAATGAATGAATGAATGAATGAATTAGCGAGCTGTTGAGTACAAGTAAAGGGATTTTTTATCAACTCTATTTTAAAGTCAAATGAATGGCAAACCCCTTCAAAGTTACTTTTAAAATCTGAATGACCAAAGAAATAAATTCTCATTTGACAATTTTTATCTAAAAAAAAATCACCATGTTCAAATTGTACAAACTCAACAAAATAATTATTATATTAAAAAAATTACCACATTTGAAATAATATAAAAGATGGCCTAGCGTGCTGGAAAAGAGTACAATATTTATCTATATTAAATATAATTTGTAATAAAAATAATAAATTTTTTGACAGGTAGCAAGCTTTAAAACATGCCATGGAGGATGTGTGATGCACATTTTACGCACTTAATGTCGAGTTTAACTCAACTCGAATTTTAGTTAAACATTTAGTACGTTGCCGTCAGGCAACTCCTCAGACCAACGGTCTTTCAAATAGCTGCGCCATCTTAACATTTACTTAACGACCGTACACAGACTGATTTTATGAGACAAGCTATAAATGGAAATCTGTATTTGCATTTATTTACACTGCAAAAAACAAAACAAAAAAAAACAACAACAAAAAAACACTTAAAAGATCTAAAAAGTGTCTTTATGTGAAGTAATTAGCCATATGTTGAGTAAAACATTTAAAAACCACCATATAACATATGTTATAAGTCAAAACTTTAGCCCATGGAATAAAAAAAAGATTAACATTCAAAAATCTATCATCTTTTACATTAGCAGTTCTGCTTTTACTTGAAGTACCCGTAATGCAGTGCACATTACAGTGGTGAACTGTACAGAATGTAAGCAATATATTTCTGCCCATTTTTAAAATTGCAGCAAAGTCTAACATACATTCTTAGAAAGAAAAAACTAAATGAAAGCCAAATATAAATGATAATATCACATAGCAGCTGGTTCTCATCCTGGATCATCAAACATGCAGTGGACTAAGCCATGAAGAGCTGATTAAATTAGGACAAGCCATGCTTTTATTCTGTTATCCTGGCTTTCATGTTTCATATGTAATACCCCTCTGGTCCTTTAAAATACTAATAAACAACGTGTTATTGTAAATTGTCTATTTAATTGCATGCTACTATAAAGTTGAAATAAATCTGTTTGATATCTCAGATCATTAATCATAAAAAATGTCACATTAATGAATATAAAAATTTGAATACATATTTTTACTTTTTAGTATACATATTTGTAATTTGTGTACCCTTACTAAGTGTTAAGACATTTATATCTAATATATAAATAACTGTTAAATAGACTTGTCAGTACATCTATACATTGTTACTTTCTGGTGATTTGAAGTGCTTCTATTATCCTCATTCCTTAGTTGATTTGAGCAAAAGTGTCTGCTAAATAAATACATGTAAAAGTAAGTAAATAAATAAATAGATAAATGTAAGTTTCAACAAGTCTATGTGAGAAACATTCTAGTTCTTAGTATGCATTCATGATAACAATGGAAATCATCTGCTACACACCATCATACTTTCATCATTTCTCACACTCATGTTGTTTATGACATTCTTTTTTTTGTTAAACATAGTATGAAATTTTTAAGTGAAAATAATACTAAAATAAACTATTAAAAAAATTGAAAGCCTGAAAGCTTTTTTAAGAATGTGAACATGTTGTGGTTAACTGTTTAGCTTGTTATCCCTAACAAACACTACAAGCAATGACGAAAAATATGCAAAACTTCATTAAGTATGATGCTATACTCACTCCCTCTACCAATACAAGCTGTGTGTTGCCGATAAGAGTCATGTTGACTTTAGTTGCCTTTTCTCTAAAAACAGAGATAAGTTCTTCCAGACGGCGCTTTTTCACTGGTGCAGGAACATTATCTTCCAACCGATGATATGCATGGGTTTTCTAGAAATGAGAAAAAAGCCACATTATCGATTTCATTAAATTTTGTTGCTTATGGTCCATTTCCACTGAGTGGTAAGGTACAGTACAGTACGGTTCAGTATGCTTTTATGGCCATTTCCACTGTCAAAGGGTACCTAAAAGCGAACTTTTTGGTTACCTTTTTGGTTTCCTTTTGAAAAGCGTACCTAGCATGATAAAAGGGCAATAAAGTCGGAGCTAGACATGCAGCTGAACGCTATTAGCTTACAGGGATTCGTCACTTGCAGAAGTAGGAAAATGAAAACAAAGAAACCGCTATTTTTAAAAACACAGCGAGACATTACACCATTACAATATATACATATAATAACAAGCCACGGTCCACCCGGCTTCAAACAAACCTTCTCATGGTCTTGGTGAACAGCCACAAAGCCAAGAAGAACTAAATCTGCTGTGTCCTGTTGCTGTTTTACGAGCCCGTCTAAAAGTGTGAGATGTTTCACTTTCAGAAGAGAGCTCGCTGCATATCTATATTTGAAATAATGAACTTCTTAAGCTCATATTAATAACGTGTGCGTGATAATTGAAATGCTTCTGACATCCAATCCTTTCAGAAAGGGACAAACGTGAGAGAGAAGCGGGGAAAAACAAAGGAGAAGCCGGAAAAACCAGAGCAGAAAATTATTCTTTCTGCAACCTAAAACATGAACAAACTGCCATGTTTAAATATTATTATTGCATATCATTGATATGCAGTTATAATCAAATCATTTTTAAATAAAAGTTAGTAATGAACATTTATACACAAGTACTGATGTGTATAAAGCGTCTTGTTTTGTGAGAAGGTCTTTTCATATGATATGTGAATGACCCATACATATGTAGACTTTTTCTCGACTAAAAATGACATCGTCAGAAACTTTCTGTCATACAGTACACCATGCCCTGCAAAGGGTACCATTAGTACCCTTTTGGCAGAGGAAATCGCAAGTCTGATAATGGTGACCCGTACCGACCCGTACTGTACTGTACCACTCAGTGGAAACGGGCCATTACACCAGAAGATTTCAAAATCTCAATTCAAAGGTCCACATCTGAGGTTTTCAGATCTGGAAAGATTGGTTATAACAAAACTTTTTTAATGAACATGCACAGACACACATCAATGATTTAAACAATTAAATGTCTTTTCTATTTAAAAGTATAATAATAACAACAAGTGACAAAATGACAATGCACTTCATTTTAATCTGTCAATCAATTCAATCTGTCGATCAATGGGCAGGGATAACTGCACATGTTGCAGTGGGTATTGGAATTTGGATCCTATTTTAACATCAGGAAATTAAAAAAAAAAGTCTTGTGTTAATACCACTCCAAAATAACAGTGGACACAATATACCTACACACAGTTCTGTCCAAACAGCTTGCAAAAGTTGATTTTGCATAAAATAGTTAAATGCATGAATGAAGAAAAAAAATTAAAATAAATAACCAGAGGAAGGTCAAGTAACATGGTGCAAAACTCCACTTTATGACACTGTCTGTATTACATCAGTTGCATAAAATCTAACTGAATAAATTTGTACTGGATTAGAGGAAGTTTAATGTATAGCTCTTTGTTGAGTACAAGTAAGTTTAGTCTTTAAATGTCACTTTAAGCTGCATAAAAGCGTCTTGAAAAATATCTAGTAAAATATTATTTACTGTCATCATGGCAAATATAAAATAAATCAGTTATTAGAAATGAGTTATTAAAACTTTAAAAAGTTGTGGAGGATGTGGAGGACTTAGGTGACCTACCAGTTTGGTGGTTAAGTTGGGGAAAAAAATAAACAGGGTGGCTAATAATTCTGACTTCAACTGTATTTCACACCTAGCTCAAAACTTTCATAACTCTCAACACCTACAAGTCTAAACCTCCACATTCTTTGTGACGCATTTATCTCCTGAGACATTAGGCAGAGACCATCAGCCTCACATCATCCAATTTTCAAAGGACTTTTATGAACTCAAAACAATAAACTCCAAAGTGTATGTAACATATGTGTTTGCAGTCTATATGTTCTGCCCAATAGTAGAGGTACTTAAACCAAGATATGGGCGCATAAACAGAACTTTCAGCATTTTATATAAAGTAGGTGTGACTGATCGACTTAAATCTGCTCTGCCCCTGTAATCTAGGCAGAACAATCTTCCCAAGAGGACACTTAATTTCTGCACCTTTACTCTGCTGAGTCAGTTTTTTTCTTGGATTTTTAAACTCATTACATTTTTGCACCTCGTTGGATACTCTGGTCTTGACTGAAACACAAACTCCAAACAGGAATGAACTTAAGAATCTAAGTTTTTCCATGCATAATAGGACTCTTGCATCACAAGAGAGAGAGAATAAATGCAAGTATGCATTTCTAGTTGTTCTAGTTGTCTCCTTAGTTGTAATTAAACTGATTAAATATTGTCTTTCTTGGCAAATTCTTGGTGTGTCCATATCCCAGGCAGGCCTATTCAGCAACACTGTCAGGGACTTTACCCAGGAGTCCTTGGGGGAGAGCTCTGCCTTGTGCAATGGAGCAGGTGATCACTTTGTGGGCTCAGATGACTGGAATCGTTGCCGCTGACTCTTTCTCGTTAAGAGTGATCTTCCTGCAGCTCCATGACGCACCACTGTCATAGCCCAGTCAACTGGCTAGTGATGGCACTGAGCCCGCAGGAAGTTGACGGTACCATCACAGGTTGCTGTTAAATCCAGCAATCAAACCTCTAAACAAGCCTGACTACTTGGAGAGAAAAACTGTTCTTTCCATGCGCCAGAGCTTCCCCCTGCAAAGGAATGTAGCGCACCTCTAGCCTCTTTGCTGGATCATTGGAGGAAGGTAAAAGTCAATCTCAGCTCTTCTTCGGACGCTCCATATCCCGGGGAGAGCACTCCCCATCCCGAAGCTGCCCCACCGCAGGTACATCAGCAATTGTTCCAGTGAAGCTGCAGTGGTGATGCTTGTTCGGACTCTGTCAGCCTGCTTACTGCTGCTAAACCAGTCGTAGTGGCTCATGTGGACTGTCATTTAAAGCGTTCATTGCCATGCCATCCCTGTCTTGCACAAGCCACTCCCTCCAGCCAAGATGGAGATTGGGTTTATGCCTTCACTTCATCGTACCCAGAGAGTGTTAACGCGAGACTCTTATCGGACGATAAAAAAATATTGCCGTTAATCTATTCTCAAAGTTGGGAGCTGAGTCTGTTCAGTGCACACTATGATGACTTTCACACCTTGATATTTCAGCGCGGATGTATATTTGGCCTAATTGTGCTGTAGGTGGTGAGAACGAGTCTTCAACCCTGTGTTTATTCCTACTGTAAAATTACCAAATCAAACGTGACATGTGAACTAGATGCAGTTCACTAGAGTGAATCTGATTAATGTTAGCTACACATTTAACTATCAGGTCCCAGTAGAGTTTATGCTTTTTAGTAAAACATATACAAATAAAATGGAGCAGGTGCTTTTTAAAATGAATGACGGTGAATGAAAGTTAAACCGGTGAGCCGTGTGACAAAGATTCTTCTGAATCAAATCAGCAGGATGCCCTTCTGGATCTTTTACTTACTTCGAAGACACTACTGACTACGCTTACATAGACATCTGTAATCTAGTTATTTGCGTTAATAGACAATAATATACTTAAGGTGTTTACGTGAAGAGTTTCCTGTAATTTTGGGTGACTTTAACTGCAGTTCCGCAGTTTAACATTCACTCATGAATATTTTATTCATGCCCCTGTGACAAACTGGGGTTTTAGACACAAATAAGAAGAGGTGTGTGTGTGTGTGTGTATGTGTGTGTGTGTGCGGTCCTTTTGCTGACAGCCGCGTGTGTGGATTTTGTGGGAAAATATGGTGAAAAGTTCTACATGATGGTAATAGTTTGATTGCGGTGCTTACTTCAATAATGCTACTTACATAATACTATAATGTTACTAATAATGTTACTAATATATACTCCACATGTCTTAATTCCATTTCTGTTTAGTTCAGTTACAACTTTAGTCAGGTTAAGGCAATCAAAACTCGCTGTTTCGAGCCTAAGTAGGCCTACAGTTCAAAATTCCTGTTGAACTGAATAAACAGTAAACCCAAGTACATCTTATTGAACATCATTTATTATCATCACCAATTATCATAATAGAACAGTTTCTCAAGCAGTTTGTGATGCATTTTGGAAACAGGAGATGACCTCCTGGTCCAATACGCCCCCTGGCTTGAGAAACCCATTCTCAGACTTACTTTTAGTCATCATTTGGGTAGCACACATATTCTGAACGCCTTTGGCAGAATTCAAATAAACATTTTAACCAGTTAAACTCTGCTGCTATTTGGGGACTTTTTCCTGGATTTTGCCTACCCAAATTTAAAAGCTTCCCAAATCCACATGCAGAGGTGTAAATGCACAAATTTTGTATAATTTTAAAGATAACCTGTTTGTGTTATAATAAAAGCCTAAAAAAAAAGAGGCGCTTTTTGTATTTTTTTATAGACTCAAATTTGAAAGTGTACCTTTTAGGTTCTGTGTGGTCTAGGGTGCTGTAATTAATTTTGGTGGTTCCTGCACATGTCTGTAATCTTAAGGAAAAAAATGCCTCAATCATAATCTTCGGCAAAGTTATTGTATTCCAACTGATGAGAGGTGCTATACAAGCCACAGGGATCGATCATTGTTTTCATATTTCACTATTCTTTTGTTTGATCAAACAATATTCACAATCACATGTTTGGACCACATCAGACATATAAAAGGATTACTTTTGCACATCACCTCAAAAACAGAGGAGAATGGCCCTGAAGCGCACAGCATAAGGTAAGAGATGACAGCTGTCTGTGCTATCTGGGGCTGCTAATTGATCATAAATGTATTGTTTTCAATTCTGTGCCATGGAAACACTGCGATTCATCCGACAGCTGTTTGATATGCGAATATAATTCAGTAAAAAGTATGCCAGAACTCTACGAGCACCGGCAAGAG